ATTAGGCCAGCCCTCAGAGGGACATACAGGACAAGCAACCATGCCCGCCCACACCCTGACCTAAGGACAAACAATCGTGATTCTATGAAAGGAAGCTAAAAAACCTGTACATGCCCTGGGGAAATCAATGCAATCTCCATTCATAGAAGATTAAAAAAAAAGGTTAAGCTCAAATATATTCACACACCTGGAATATTCAGGTTTTAAATAAATTATATTTAAACAATGAGCTTGGCAATTTCAAGAGATAAATCAATGCATGGGTCTTTCAACCAGAAAAAATATATAAATGCAATGATCAGTATAAACATTTTAGTTTCATCTCAGCCTGAAATCTTTCTTAAAATTACACATCTGTTTTATGCATGTTTCTACTGATATTTTAATGATTTATATTTAGTGATGGGCTCCAAGTGTTTGAAACTGAAAGATCAGACGTTGATTGAAGTTTTGATTGATGTATTAATTCCCAGCTCAGTCTGGTGCACAGAGGTGTTAGCTCAATAAAAGACATGTCCAAAGACAGCACTCTTATGCACTGCTCTTATGGCTCTGTAGTGCTTTGCTTAGAAATATGTTTTTATTCCTCTTCGAATGACCAAGGACTGGCCCTATGCAGCATAGCAGTGGGTAACTCATTAACATTAAAAGGCCAGGCCAGCTCTGTGCTAGAGATGAAAAGGGCTTTTTTTTCTATCAGGAGGCTGCTGTGTCACCAGTAAATAATTAGATGTTGCCTTACAGAAAAAAATGAGCTCCTTGGGCATAAAATGGAAAAAAATCATCTCCATCCAAGTCCTTTTTTGGATCAACAAATTCATTGAATTGTTACAGAAATTGACAAACAAAAATTTTGGACATTCAGCTTTGAGGCTGTCTGGCATTACTGTATGTTGATAAATCCAAAATAACGCTTGTGAAAAGATTTTTCAGAAATCATAAAAAAATTCCAAATTGAGATGTTTTCCAAGTAGTGAGTTACAACAACTTTAATATTTTTGCCCTTATGAATAAAAATTGTTTGTTTATCATAAAAGGATGTCCCTTAAAAGGTTTTTAAACAGTTATGGTGTCAAAAAGCTTCCTACTTAAGCCAGCAGGGTATAAATAAACTGCTGTGCTTTCTATATTAATGTATCCTTGCTGTGTGTTTTTTTTTTTTGGAAAGCTGCCTTTTGACGCTGTTTCTTTGTGCTTGTCTAACAGCTGGGTAAAAATAATTATAATATATAATTGCTGGCTTTGCTGAATAGTAGATTCTATTTCATGTCCCAAAGTAATGCAGGTGGTGAAAAGGCTCATATGTTTTGGAACAAAGCTTTTTATTTTATTGATTCGGGATGCTTAGTGATGCAAATATAATGGATGTGATGGAATTATGCATATATACTGTATATAGTACAAATAAAAGTAAAGGAAAAAAACTGCAGGTAAAAATATCCACAATGTTACACTAATAACTGTTGTCGTATTGTTGCATGTATTTGTACATGGTTTGAAATGGTGTTTGTTTGAATTTGTTTGCACACAGTGGTCATTTGGACCATGGTCAAAACTCTGGACAGTCAATCTTGACATGTGTTTTTCAAACAAGGAAATACAAATTTGAAGGCATGCTAGAGAATAAAGAACATACTTTACATGCAACTGTCTACACCTACCTTCCTGATATTCTTAATTAGATGTGCTTTCTGGAACTCAATTTTAAGTTAAAACAAAATTTCACAAATTGTGCCTCAGATATTAGCCCAGGTGCAACATATTTTTGGTTTTGAAAAAGGATTTAGATGGGGAAAGACTGTGAATAATGAATTGTGTTATGCTGCAGAAGTCGGAATTACATCAGAGTTGATTAAATGTCAAAGAAGTAAAGTTCTTCATCACTCCCTTTATTGGCATTTATAGACAGTGACAAATCTGTTTGAGTCAAATATTTTGAATTTGTATGATGTAAATATAATAACAAATTGACTAAAGCTCCAGGTTGTAGATGAATATAGTCAAATTTAAGATCTTGCTCGGATCTTGGAATGATAGACATCTTCTGGGGAGCATCAAGGGTATATTCTCTGGCTTTAGAGCAGGTATCTACAACCTACAGCTCTGCAGTTTAAAAAATCATAACATGCTTTGATTACCTCCTGTTTAGTTAATTAAGTATTTATGTATACTAATGTTAGTAATTATAGATGTTAACTGTAGGCAGGATCTGCTGTACCGGCCTGTCTTGCAGCATATCTGGAGAAGCCTCTGATTGAAGTCGCTGTTGTTTGATAGTCTGATGAAGAGGATGTTCCATAATGTTAATTTAATGTAAAATTCTTCTTTGTAAAATTACCTCCAGAGGTTCTAGATGATTTTTTTTAACAGAGCTGGCTTTCTTCATCAGCTTGTTGAGTTTTTAAGTAATTTGCTCTGATGCTGTTACCCTAGCAGATGAAGTCAGAAGGGATCACAGTCTTCACAGCAGATTTATAAAAGATATAGCATCTTACTGCAAACACTAAAGGACTTAAGCTCTCTCAACAGGAGCATACTGCTATGTCATGTCTCATAGACAGATACACAGTTGTGTCTCCAGTCCAATCTGTTGTCAAGGACTGCAGACACAACTGTGAAGCTGTTTATAAGAAGGAACATAGTAGATTATATCTTATTGTAAACAGCTGCACACTGTCTAACAGACTAACTCTGAACTCTTATTTTTGCTCTTTTGCTCATATATGATCTAGAGCCATTTTCATAGTGTTTTAGATGATGGAGAGTTTTCATAATCACTTGGAAAAGAGGGCCTTAAAGGGGAACACTGTTTTTTTTACATTGGCCCTTTGATTTTATGTTATTACATCATGTTCTACTCACCCATATGAGTTTTGTGTCATTTGGAGCTGTTCTGAAGATATTCATTTTTTTTATATCCAAGTAACGTCTTCCTTTGGGCAACGAGTTGAAGGCAACAACTAAATTGTTCATAATTTATTCGTTATGGTATGCCAGCATTCATAACATGTTGTCGAATCACTGTCCCCCAGACACACGCGGTTATATTTTTTATATTTATATTTTTAAAAAACACTGTTGTTGGACTTTAAATGGCCCGATTCCAATCTTTTCACCTGCCAAGACATTTTTTATTGTATTGCTTCCATATGTGGTACTAATCTTGATAGTTGCCAAGCTTCACAGTCTGGATTTAATTTATTTGTACATTTAAATAGTTTTCCTCAAAAGAAGTAGCTGTCAGTTCTCCACAAAAGGTCTCTGTTTATAGTTGTGTTCTGTATTTTTTACCTTTTTTAATGTTAATTTGATGTAGTCATGCTTGATAATAATAGAGAGATAGGCATTTGTTTTTACTTCCACAAGCAATTTACTTTTTTGTGCCATCTACATCTTCCGTCTACACATGCGGGCCGTTCTGACGTCAAGAACCATTCAGACTGTGATGCAATGGTGGCCTGGTTCTGCTGGAGGGTCCCTCCTGTTAAAAGGGAGTTTTTCCTCTCCACTGTTGCAACAATTTTTTTTGTGTGAAGGATTGCCTTAAAGTCAATGAGTCGATGCAATCAACTGGTTTTCCTAGATAGAAAAATTTGAATCAATTTGACTGTGTGATCTGGTTGAACTGTAAAGTGCCTTGAGAGGACGTATTGTGAATTGGTGCCATATAAACAAACTGTATACAAAATGTATTTTAACCAAAAAATAGATCCAAGCATAAGACACACTATGTAAACATGGCCCAAGACCCACTAAGCAAATTCAGGAGCACTTTTGTTTTTTTCAAAAGTGAGTGACTAGCTTTGCCAATTAATTTCCAACCAGCATTGACATGTTTATTGGATGGAAGCTGTTTTAGAGTAGCTGAGATTAGAATTCAGAGCTACGGGCACCTTCAAGCAATACATAGGATTTATATGATCGCCCTACATTTGTACTCTGTTTCCCATAATTAAACTGCCAGCACCCGTGTCGAAAATGACACATCACAACAATATTGAGAACTATGGTTATAATAAAAACCTTCCCGCATATTCTCTCCATTTTAAACGTCTGAGTAATTTACTGTCTTCATATGATGCGATATGAGGGAGAGACTCAGTCATACCAAATACTTTCACAACATAAACATTTAACTGTCTGAAATTGATGAAATGATGAACTAACACTACAAACACAGGCCCAAGACACTGTTACTAATGAAATGTTAAAAGCTGCACTATTAATACAGGCATCAGAATGTAGATTAAAAACATTAACAACAAATGTATGATGTTTTAAGAAAGTGGTAGAGGTAGAGATAAATGTTGATCTTGTTTTGGTCTACGGATAGTGTTCACTGTAGAGGGTGTTTTAATGCCATAAGAATGATTAGATTCTAATTTGCATAATGCATTTTATGCAAAACTTTATGTGTACTAAATTAGTATTAGATTTATATAAAAAGCACTTAAGATAAAAGGACCGCTTTCCTTTTCTGATGTTTATAGCAAATTGCTAATTATAACTACCGTAATAACTATTCACCAATGTCCCATATTGAAGTTTAAAATTAAGTTATTGCAAGATAATGATTCATTAAAAAAGCCTGTTAACCCTATCTCAAAGGTCCAGCGCTTGCTTTCCAGCCAAAAATAATTGCAGGAGGCATCTTAAACTGGCAGCTTGCCCATCCAGAATGAACCTCAGCTTCTTGGTCAGTTAATTAAATGTCAGCAAATAACTTTTGTAATGTCAATCTGATAGAGACTGCAAAGGTATGGGGCTGGCATGCTTAGCATTAGCAATTAACATAGTATAAATATTTTACGTACTATAATTTTGTTTTATTAGTCAATGTTATTAAGATTTTTGTTTTAATATTTAATTTATTAGAGTATCCCTAACAGCAGCCTTTGCCTCAGACCATGATAAGTATTCCTTCTCTGCTTTCACTTTTTAATCTACGTCCATCTGTCGAACCTCAATCCTGCATTGTGTCCTCTCTGTGACGTTCGCAGTCAGATACGGAGTTCTGGGACAAAATGCAGGCAGAGTGGGAAGAGCTAGCACGACGAAACTGGCTGACAGAAAATGAGCAGGCGCAAATACCCTCATCTGTATCACCCCATGAGAAGGTCAGTTTTACCAACTGTGCACAGGACTTTTTTTTTTTCCAGATGGCTCTAATATGAAGATAAAGTGCAATTTTCTTGTAAAAAGGGGCGTCATTCCTTTCCATTGTAGCCACATGCTTTCTAGAAGAAAACTATTCCGCATAGGTTATTACAATTATCTCTTGGCCTTCCTTGGATAGATCGTAGTTTACAATTTGAAATTATAAACTCAATTTAGCTACTTTGTATAATAACCTGGGTCGAACTGACATGCTTATAAATTAATTTAGAGAACCTATTGTGAATTGGAGCTATATGAAAACTGAATAAGTCGTACCATACCTAGTGTAAACAGATTTATTTAAAGCTGCGTAAGATTTTAATTTCATTCACAAACCTACTGAGGGACAAAAGAACCAAATTTAGGTTCACCAATTCCAAGTCTATATATAGCTAATTTTAATTTTATTATTCAGTAAACAATTTATGAATTTCATCAAACAATTTCATGATTCTGTGTGCTAACAGAGTAATTTATTTACAGCCTTTTTTAACCTAAGTTATTTGTTTGGACCAAAGCTGCTACAGACAAGTAGACTGGTCTTATGTTCAGGTTACCTGATTTAACGTTTTTGTTTATTTGAAAAGTGTTTTAATTATTTTCTTATCCATATTAGCACAGGTTTAGCACTACATTTCAATTTACAGTTTAATATGAATTACCACATTTATATAGGTTTATTTATACAGATTGTGAATATTTTTGGCCCAGTTTTTAAGAATTTGCTCAAACCAGCACTAAAACACAAAAGGCATGAATGAAGCAAAAATGTCTAGGTAACAATCTTCAACCAAAAGCTCTGTCTTCTTGAATATAATTATACAACCTAGGTGTTATATAATCTTGAGCTCTTCTGAATACAAAATTTGTGCATTAAAGTGCATTAAATAGCGTATACTATACATCAGAATAACCCTGAACCATTCAACCATGAGCTGACCTTCTGATATAAGCAAACCCCATAAGATCAGTCTTGTGGGGTTTCTGATTCTATAGACAAAGTAGTTTTTTTTAACGTCATCAAGCTCAAACGCCTGCAAAAGACCAGGGCCATCCAAGTTAAAAAATGCAAAGTTTAACATTTAAAGAGAACAGCCAAACCCAGTGGAGTTCTGCACAGGTTTTATGTGAAGCAAAAAGGGAGGAGGGGAATCAATACCTCTTGTCAGAGCTTTGCTTAAAAAATCAGCAGCTCAAGATGTTTGCAATGGTGTGCTTTTATGTGAAGGAGAATAACTGACATTGCCTCTGCCCCTGTTTTTGTTGTTTTTATTTCTTTGCTGACAGGGTTACTACTTCCACACGGATAATCCTTATAAGGAGCTGCCAAATGCGTTTGAAGAGGGACTGAAGAAATCTCGGGAGGGAGACTTGCAAAATGCTGTGCTTTTGCTGGAAGCAGCCGTCTTGCAGGACCCTCATGATTCAGAGGTGAATTCATTTAGCATGAACGCCTGCTCAGAGGGTAACACACACACACCTTGGTTTGTGTTCTCTTTGCTCTTGGCCCTATCTGACTACTTTAAGTAACCATGGCAATGTTCATATTAAAACATACATTTAATTTGGAGGAAAGGATGGAACATCTATTGTAGTGATTGCCGGTAAAGCTTCAGCTCAGCACCTCTAAACTAAACTGGATCAGCTGCAAACCTTAATCAAAGTCCAACCCCACTTACTCCACCTCATGTAGAGAGAAGCCACAGAGCAAGAATGCCTGTCTGACCACAGGCTGCGTGAAGCTGATTTAGCAGGCAGAACCCACGGGGCTTGATGCTGATTGCCTGTAGCAAGAGAGTTTAATGTAGCAAAAATACTCAACTTGCTCTTCATGTGAGTATTCATTTGCCCAGTGAGCTGAATAATAGCTCATTCATAGGTTGTTGTTTTTTCAAATCTTCCCCTTTTCTAAAGAAGTGACCTCTTTGCAAGCTCAAAGAGCAAAGCCGCCACATAAGTGCTTTCAGAGTCCCTTGGAAAATACAGAAATGTGCCAGTTATACCAAGGAGAGGATAATCCTGTGGTGTATGGAACTAATACGATCCCAAAATTCCTCCTGGGGTGCTTAGAGGCTTATTGTCCCACCGTGAATCATTCAAAAATAATTTCACCCATCGTCTCAAAGAATGAAGAAAAACAGCATCATCAGAGCTTAGCTTTAGAACAGGTCAATGAGTGTGCCAGTACCTACACACACAATAGAGACAAGCAATCTCCTAAAAAGCACCTTCTGGTTATGACTATGACACACAGTGCTGACCTCATACTCACATACTCACAGACAGTCACAGTTTAAGTTTACTTCTGTTTAGTTTTGAATTAGATCAAAATCATTCACAGTT